TAATTCTATATATGTTTTATGTAAGAAACTAAATCTGAATCTTGAAATGGTTTTTAGCTTCTAATTTGACTGTTTTTTATTGTATCATGAGAACAATTACTTTTAAAATGCTGCTTTTAGTTATACCTGTAAATGTTAAGTCATCTATTCTCTGTTTCATTTCATCTATTTCACTCCCACCATGCTTTAATTTTGATTGTTAGGGTGATATTTTGTCGGTTTTTTCTCTCTCCGATTGTTTGGGCCATTGGCTGATTTCTGTTAATCTCTTTGTAAAAAGACAAATTTCCGATTGTTTAGATATTAAAATTGTATGAAGGTAAATGCATGTAGTTTAGATATTAAATATTTAAACACTCCAAATGAAGCTTAAATTAGTATTACTAGCTCATGATTATTTTATTTTTTTTAGATGATGATGGTGAGGAAGAAGAGACAGAGTATGGGAAGACAAAAGATTGCTATGAAGAGAATAGAGAATGAGGAGGCTAGACAAGTTTGTTTTTCGAAGCGGCGAATGGGATTGTTCAAGAAGGCTACGGAGCTTTCTATTCTATGTGGGGCGGAGATTGGTATAGTGGTGTTCTCACCGGCAGGTAAGCCTTTCTCGTTCGGCCACCCTTCGCTTGACTATATAACGAAACGATTCCTCGGTGGTGGCGGCAACGGCAACGACAACGACGTCGAAGTGGTGGGGCCATGGTGTGGGATGTTTGTTGAAGGTCAAAAATTGCTTCAACTAAACCAAGAGCACGCAGGTCAGTACGATTTGTGTTAAAAAAAAAAGTAGATTTAGATTTGAGCCAAATTTTTAAAATAAATTTTTTACATATATTTATTTTTATATTTTAGAAAATTTGTTATTAGAATATTTTCATCAAAATTTAATCATATTTTATATTAAATTTAATTTAAAATGAGTGTAATAAATGATATATTAATTAAAATGTATATTACATTAAATTATAAATCAGATGATTTTAAAGCTATTATGATAAAAAATTTGATCAAGATATGTTGATATGTATAGTTAATTATTTTCCTTTTATGTAATTACCATGCTAATTATAAATGTGCAGTTATTTAATTTCAACAGATATATTATTTTAGATAATTTGAATTGAATCTATTTTTTTTTAATTTATTAATTTCAATGTCATATGCTCAACTTAGGTCCATAGTTGAAATTGGGTTAACGACTGATTTAATCTTATTTTGGAACAGCTTTTTACTTCTTATATATAAAAGTAGCTTTTTAGTGCAAAAATTTTAATTTTTTACTAAAAAATTGTTTTAAGAAGCAATAAAAAAACCGTCCCAGCCTTAGTTTTAATGCCATATTAATAATTTGTTTTATTTATTTTTTTAACAATTAAATCTTAAAGTTTTAAAATTTAGGATTTCTTTGGAACTCTTCTACTTTTTATAAAAACTATTATAAAATTATTATGAAAAAATAGTTTTTTAAAAAGTTGTCTTAATGAAAAAATTGCGATCAAATAAAAATTATAATCTGTCCCAAGTAAAATATTAATAAAGTACAAGATCTTCAAAAAGTCAAGTAGTTTAATTAACAAATAAATCAACCTAATTTTTTAGAAGTTATATGCAGGGTTGACGGAGAAGTTGGAAAAGGCAAGGAGAATGAGGGCGGAGTTGGAGGCAGAGGTTGCGGCCCAGCGGGGCGGGTCGAGTTTGCCGTGCGATGTGGAGGTGCATGAAATGGGTGTAGAGGAGCTAGAGAGCTTCCAAAAGCGGCTCGAGGAGTTGCAAAGGGGCGTTGCGAATAGGCGCGAGGAGCTCGAGATTCTCTGCATGGATACGAAGATCGTAAGGGGAGGCGTTCCGTCACAGTTGGGCTATGGAGGTGTGTATTTGGGTGTGCATAATGGATTATATTTGACACCGACTCCGATCGATTGGTTCTATAGGCACGGGTTTTGATAAGCTTTTGGCTTTTCATGATATTTGTTATTTGATTATATAAATATTTGCATGATTATTTTAAAACGATTTATTCTAAAATTATTGTTATTTAAAATGTCTACTTGAAAACTTCTTAATATATAACAATTTGATTTGATAGATTCTACAAAGAATAAAGTGGCTTGTAACTTTATTTATGATCATAGATGTGCATAAAAATATCAGCATATGCTCTTGATTGTTGCACTAATAATTTATTTATTAACTATATTTCATTAGCAAAGGACCTATTAGGGATGAATTTTTATTTTGGTAAAATAATACTTTAACAGAAATAAAATACGAAAAAGCAAGTAGAAAAATGAACCAATCAATTCATATCTTGTACTTTGTTTTTTATTTTGAAAATTTGTAGTTTTTTTTAAACTATTTGAACTTTTTATTATTTTTAAAATAACTAAATTATTTTTAAAAAATACTCAAAATAATTTTGAAATATTTTGAGTGGTTTTAAAATGACTATAAGAATTGAAAGCCATTGGCCCCTACTTCAATCATTATCAACAACATTGATTTTTTACCTCGTAAATGGCTATTGTTTCATGTTACAAATAAAATATCACTAAATAAAATTCTAGGGATTACATAAATATAACATCTAATATTTACACAACTCACCATGACCTATTGGTTGAGAGCTTATGCTTCAACTAAGAGGTT